GCTCGGCGGGTTTTGAAACATGTTCGGAAGTTTAAAGTCGTGCGACCTTACAGTAGTAGAGGTCGCACGGCTTCCACACACCTTACGATAATCGTACGATCGCGGGATTTCCCGCGATTATCGTACGATTATCGTAAGGTTTGTGGGGATCTTTAGAGCAGCCAGATCTAAACAGACCTGCGTCCATTTACATCCAATTACCCCCTGTTAGGAGCATGTCAAATGCTCCTATCCCTATCGCAACCACTCGGCTCCATCTGGTGGTGACAGACTTCCCTCAGCCAATCACAGGAGACAAGGTAGGAGGCGGGAACACCTGAGGGGACAGCTGTGAGCTTTGAGCCCACGGCTGAGAGGAGCCGGCACCTGCCTTTAACAGAGAGCCGGGACCTCCAAGGAGACTGCAAGGGACAAGCGCTGGAAAGTGCTCGATCTGCTGTCGGGTGTTTTCTTGAGGGAATTGGAACGGAGAGATTGGAAGCCTTCTGCTCCTGAGGGATTATATTACATATACTCACTGATTCTGGTGAGTACTGATTACCTGGGGGACGGTTGATTGGAAGATCGAACTTATAAGGACTTTATATTTATTTTCGTTTGCTTGGGGAATTGGACTCAATTGATTTTTATATATTTTATTTTTTATTTATTTAGTTTGCACATTCAGTTTGTCTTATTGAGTACTTTAGATCCAATTTATTTCATATCTATATTAGTCTCCCACTTTGCAATTAATTGTCATCTGTCAAATCACATCACAAATCAGAAGTTTGGAGGAACTATTTGCACTTTATCTGTACAATAGTTTTTCGTTAATTTTATTTTATTAACGGTTTGACACAAAGGTTTGAGGATTTGTCACTTCTTTACCATTCACTTATGAGATAATTTTATTGTTAACATTTTTTTCACATTGTGTTGCATTGTATCCACGTAGAAGTTTATGCTCAGATTTATCAACACAAATGAGGTTTAGACACTTTGTTATCACTTGATTTATACATAGTTGTTTTTGATATTTTTTCATTGGGACGTTATTCACTTATATGTATATACACATATATACACTTTGAGGAGGTAACTAGTCCCCCAGTTCGGTGGATATATATATATACCTCCAGAACAAGGCAATATATTAATTTATATTTTACACCTACTTTCTTACGGAATCCACCTTTAGCGCTTTGTTATCACTTGTCCATCTGGTGGTTGCCTCTTTTAACTGCACCTATGTCCAGTCAGCTGCAGGCTGATCAGGCTAACCAGCCTGGCTGGCTACATGCCCCTTACAGCCTGGGCGTTGGTTAGTTTCGCTCTATTTAAGCATCACAAGCCCAGAGCTCTGTGCTTTTGATAGTTGTAGCCTTGTCTTGTCTTTGCACTGGCTACACAAGCCTGTATCCTGATCCTTATCCCAGTCCTGCCTAGATCTTGTATCCTAGTCTTGCCTTGGCTCTTTAATCCTATACCTGTCTTGTTTCCTGTATCCTGTATTTATCTCATATTAGCTCATGTCTTGTATTTGTTTGCTGTTCCTGTTTTTGTCTTGTACCTTGACATCAGTCAGTACTTCTTCTCCTTGTTCCTGGGGGCCAGCCTGGGGAATCACTTGATCAGCGGCTGCTAAAGGTGAAACAACTCGTCGCTATTGGCTCTGACAGAGTGCGTCCACAGCTGGTCCTGACACCCCCGACTCCATCCAGGTCCACAAAACAAAACGGAACAGAGTTCCATTGTGGCGGACCTGATTGTGATGCATCAGGGGTAATCTGATGTAAACGGACCTATGTCATCCAACTCACCATAGACCAACATGAGACTGGTAAGTTCAGTTTCTTTCTCCATCCCATGATGGAGGAAAAAACTGGATGGACACAGATATCACAACGGTGAAATCCGTTCCAAACTGCTCCGATCAGCAGGGGATCTGTGCACAGATCCCCTGCTGATCCGAACTGACAAGCACCGGTGTAAAGGGGCCTTATTTAAACTCCAATCTGTATTTTTTTAAATTCTTAATAATATTCTAATAAAAATGGTCAGTTCAAAAACACAGATACTATAAATGTGGAATCTTTATTTTGAACATGAAATACTCAAAATCATTATTTTTTATCAGTTCAAATGCCTCATTTTCTTGCTTTCCTTGAAGGGCTACAGCTGCTCAAGACTTTCCCTTGGCTAGACCTACTCAAGGAAGGCCCCGAAAGAATATTAGTATTAGAAAGACTAGAAGATTAGAAAATTAATTGTTAACCACAAACGCTAAATTTCTTGCAGAATGATCTTTCCATACTTGGAAATCATATATTCACGAACTCTAGATCATGAATGGGATGAGCATGTGGAGTTGCCAGGCAGGTCTTTCCCAAGCGTCAAGGAGTGCCGAATGCAAGTGATTATTATACACCATGCTAATTGACCAAGATGTACTTGGTTAACCACCTGCTGTCCGGCCCTTGTAATTAAACGGCCGGACAGCGGGTGGGCGTTTTTAAACCATTTAAACCCATCCTGCCCCGCTCGTGCCCGCCGCTAGGCGGCGCGCACAAGTGGGAAATCAGCCTGCAATGTAAACAGCCGGCGATAGCTGTTTACATACAAGCTTTCGGGCGTCTGTAGAGACGCCCGATCGCTTGAAATGTGTGTGCGGGCCCCCCTCCGCCGCAGCCGGCGATACCGAGCTCCGCTGTGCCCGGTTCAAGCCATGGGACCAGCACAGCAGCTCTGCGGCCGGAGATCAAACGGAGCTCAGTACATGAGCTCTGTTTGATCTCCTCCTCCTCTTCGGAATGCAGGCAGTGATGTTTATTACATCACTGCCTGCATTCAGTGTCACTCTCCGGTACAGAAACCAGAGAGAAGCTGGTGAAGCAGGTGTTTGCTTCATCAGCTTCTCTGGGGGTCCCTAGGTGACATTAGGGGTCTTAAAGACTGATGTCTCCATAAAGAGGACCTGTCATTGAAAATTGGCTATCACAAAGGGGACTTGCTAGTCCCCTATGTGATGGCAATACAGTTAAGTGAAAACAAAATGTTTAAAAGAATTAGTTACAAAAAAAAAATAAAAAAATTAAAA